TGTCATCAACATATTCTTTGAGTGCTTTAAGATGGCTCTATGGGGAACCAATCTTTAGTGAAAGCCCGATCACCTGTGTGATCATTCACTACTACCTAGACCCCTCTTGGGTTTTTATGGTGACACCGATCATGTTCTTCGTTGACGCTGATTATCAGTTGCTAGTTAAAATCAATCCACTATTTGGGAATAGATCGACTAGCTTCTTGGGCTCCATTGAAGTTGTTGCCAAAGCATTAGTTCGTAGGTTGAGAGAAGTATCCTTGGCTCCTGCCAACCCAACTATCTTTGAATGGCGAGGTAGAGAAGCTGATCATCCAAGAAGCCGAGATTCAAATAATGATGCCGACTGAAGACCTTTGCTGGATTTCTTTAAAGCAATTAATAATGGTTAATGTATGCCCAAAAGAAAGCTAAAAATCCTTTTCTCAGACTTGAAATAATAGTTCTCATTTACTGCATGCGACGTCGAGATCCTCTAGGTACTTCATTCGATTAGAGGATGTCTGCCGATCACCTCGACTAATTAATTCATGGTTTGCCGAGTCTGGTTTTACAATCATTGATTGCTTCGGAACAGTGTCCAAGAAGTGAGATCAACCACCACCAGCAGTGGGCATTAGGCCAAGCGACCAAGAGTTGCATTCGTACCGCCGAGAGGGATTCAAAATGATACACCCTATTGTGACTAAGGAAAACCCAGAGAGATGGTGTGCTGAGGTTGCTGGCTTTATGTTTAGACCATTCAAAGGATTCTGCTTGTATTTTCCGACCATCCTCAGGTTGCACAGACCACGGGGAGGCAAAAACCAATTGAGCTCAACACTGTGAGCCTTGCAATACGGAGAAAGCAAAAACAGATGCATGCTTCTCTCTGTTTATTGTTAGTCACAACATGTGAAATTGATCATCTATACTTTTCTAGATTCATGAAGAATTGTTTTTGTACTAGATCCACATACAAGTGTCATGATTTTTTCCATTTAAGTACTTGTGTTTACATGCATTACTACACGTGGCGTAGCTATTCTCAAGGGCACAACATAGCAGTCATACAAGTCCTTGCTTATATGCAAACTCATCCTGTCAATTTTAACATGTGGGTCTCACAAATAAGATTGACTTGGGACTAGTTTTTTACTTTGGGTTTTGCACTTGACTCGTGCTGGCAGTGGGGGAAGAGAGAGCGAGAGACCACTCGACTCATTTCAAAAGCCAAAGGAAAAGATTAGAAGAAAGACTGAGCAGATGACCTACATGCTTTGTGATAGTGTCCAGGAGGTCTTCCATAGGAAGCTATAACAATCACATGCATTACTTGAAATCATTATCACGAGTACTTATATGCATCATATGGTGATGGACAGAGTATTATTCGGTTTTGGTTGAAGTATAAGAGAACGGCACTTATCTCTGCATTTTGTGGACTCCTGAGTGTGAGATACATAGAAGGAGCCCAATCTCCATGTGCCTTGATAGATTCGCACATGCCCGGTATTGTAGGACGGAGCAGCAATGAAGGGCAAACCTCTTTGGTTGTGTTGCACAGATTTGTGGTGATATACTAATCTGCTGGCTTTACATTTGCGGAACTCTCGCACAAACACGAGATATCTCACCATGGATAGCATACGAAATAGCCACGAGTTTATGCCAAGCTGCACCAACATAACAAAGATGCCGAACTTCATGGGTCAAGCAAATGCAAAGAGATCAAGCCAGGTAGGTGGTTATAAGTGAAGCACCTTTTTGTGGCCAAGGAACTTCACAACTCTTGGATCTTTTGATTCTTCAATAATGGAGAGGTGTATCATTATTATCGTCGGCTTGTAGACTCCACCGATTAAAACTCCAAGTGAATATCGAATACGCAGTCCAGAACAATAGAGGGCTCCATTGGTAGCTGGGAGCTGCCCAAGAGCTTTCTAATAACGAGCTACGCTTTGTGTTGCCATGGGTCAAGAAGCTGGGACCGAGCAATATGGATGTCATGTAAGAAGGGACCAAACAAATGAAGAGGGAACTCATTTAATTTGGTCTGTCTTTCACTCCTCAAGAGTGAAAATTTTCGGCTTTGAAAAGGAGGGAATCATCACAACGGTAGAATATCCTTTTGCACTAAAGGACGAGTTAACAAAACTCAATATAAAAGTTTTTATAGCATGTTCACGTGGAAAAGTTGAAGCATCAGGATGCCACCAATCCATATGGTACAAAGACCAAGTTTCCATGAATAGAATAAGAAAGTCTTAACTTTTGGGGAATAATGCTTGTGACCAATCAGATCCTTGTGAGGTTTTCATGGTGATATTCTGCCGATTAGATTTCCGCATAATCACTGAATATGCAGTCCAAAACCATGAAAGACTCCGGTGATTGCCGAGAGTTGCTTAGAAGTCCAAAAGGGATCAGGAGACCGAGCAAATCGCAAGGTACTTTGTCTTGGTTTATCTTTTACTTCTAAAAACAAACTTTTCGCCCTTGATAGGTATTGATCATCGTCAGATTCTTGGCGTGCTTGAAGACATTGAAATCAGAATCAGTGGGGGAGCGAGCTGCCGAGCACCATGAACACCTCGACGGTCAATGAGAACGAGACAGACTACTCGAGTTCGCCACCCAGAAATTAGCTCTGCAACAACTCTGCATTTGCCGAACGCAGTGCACAAGGACATAGCATAGTGAGATATTCCGGGCTCCGTTAATATTCGAAATATCAATAGTGAATGTCGAGCGTCGGTTCAGTCTGAAACGTCGTGGAGCGACCAAAGGCGAAGAGATCCCGTGAACAATTAAAAAGCCTCCGTCTTGGTTTTACCGATGTTGATGGGAAAAGGATCTTTGCAGTAGCAGAATGCCCCCATTGCACTAATGGACAAGTCAAGACAACTGACTGTAAAAGTCCATGCATGCCCATGTGAAAAGTTGCTAACATATTTTTTATACCATTTCTTTGTGGTGGGGTTTTGCAAGGTTGGACTTATAAAACTAAACCCATTTGCAAAAAAGGCCGAGTACCCATGAACGAAAAAAAATTGAGTCCTAGCTTCATAAACTGAGCAGATCCATAGGTGCAAGGGTGCACAAATCATAACAAGGTTTGGAGAGCACTCACGGACCGGAGATACAAAGAATTTGGAGCGTACATGTTTGCTTCGTTTTCCACAGACAACGCAAAAATGTAAGGTGTAAAACTTGAGGATACCTCCTAGAAGAATAAAGAATGAACGTTTCTAATAAGAGTGAGCTCTGAACTTAATCTCATAGTCTTTGCTTCTTACAAAACGAATAAACTGTCCAAGGTCGAAAGTACTCTGATGCTTAAATTAATAATGGAATTGAGACAATTCTAAGAAGACAAAAAGAGTTCAGCGTACCTTTTACCTTGGCTCCTTTTGCTTCTTATAGACCCCTGTTCAATTAGGGTTTCTATGAATTTCAATTCAAAGTGACACATCTTCTTTCAATTAAGCGATTCAGTTTGAAAAACTGCTGAAATCTCTCTGGTAGTTCCCTTGGCCTACAATTAAGCTTATTAGTTTATCTTGGACGCCTAAGTTTTTGGTGAATCTTTATCTTTCCATTTACTGTTTCAAACAGTTCGATCTAGACGAGGGCCGAGCTCATTCCTTCATTTTCGAGCTTTCTGATCAGCTCGGCTGTCGGATCTTATTCTCTGCTCGACTGGGGCAACCTAACTGTCTGTTCGGTCGAGTTTCATCCTCTACTAGGTTGGACCAATTTTAGCTCACTTGGGATAGCCTAGCTATCTGTTTGATCGAGTTTTATCCTTTACTAGGTCGGGTCAATTTTAACTCAATCAGGATAGCCTAGCTATCTGCTCGGTTGTAGTACAGTCGTTCCAAATAACTACTTTCAACACATGCAACATGCCACGTGCCCAAGTCTAATTGCCAAATGATGATAAAAATTTATCGATCCCTTCAAATTACTTGTATAAAAAGAATATTATCACGCTATGTAAATGGTTCGAAGAAATCTATATTTACAAGGCACTCTAAGCCCAAAAAACCTACTATAACCTACTTCTCCAAGTAATATAAGCCTCAAGGGGCATGTTTGTTTTGAGTATAAAATTTAGGTGGTATAAAATTTTATATCCATTTCACTCCAATCCAATAGTATATTATATCCGGTGTTAAACTATAATCTCATCATTCTCCTTGTTTGTTTATCACAAATATTATATGTGTAATGTCTACTTAAAAAAATCAACAATTGTGGTTAACCAATGTAAAAGATAATTTTAACCTTTAAAAAGTCAAAAATTGCGACTAGGATTTTATATGGGAATTGTACCAGAGGGTATTTCGGTCTTTTTAGTTTATAATACCTATATCAAGAATATAATACTACTCCCTATGTGGTATTCATTAAGACCTTCTACAAGTTATTATGACTACTGTTCATAGCGGATCGGTATTACGAACTGGAAAATAACACTAACTATAAAATGCCAAATAAATAACGTATAAGATGGGTCTCACGTACTATTTTCCTAATACCACCTCTTTATACTACTCTAATACTCAAAACAAAAAGGCCCAAAAAGTAAGATTTTCTATTATTGTGGATGTAGCATTGATCTTTTGGTTAAGGTGAACCACTTATATGCTGTCTTGATCCAACTTCATTCATTTCTTCCTTGTTAATCTAGATATCCGCATTGCCCCCACCATCGGGTCTCAAGCCCACGGTTCTGCACCTGGGCCAGGTATTTCTGAGCACCATCAGATACAAATTTATATATTTGAAGGTACCAATTGAAAATTTNTTAATGTATGCCCAAAAGAAAGCTAAAAATCCTTTTCTCAGACTTGAAATAATAGTTCTCATTTACTGCATGCGACGTCGAGATCCTCTAGGTACTTCATTCGATTAGAGGATGTCTGCCGATCACCTCGACTAATTAATTCATGGTTTGCCGAGTCTGGTTTTACAATCATTGATTGCTTCGGAACAGTGTCCAAGAAGTGAGATCAACCACCACCAGCAGTGGGCATTAGGCCAAGCGACCAAGAGTTGCATTCGTACCGCCGAGAGGGATTCAAAATGATACACCCTATTGTGACTAAGGAAAACCCAGAGAGATGGTGTGCTGAGGTTGCTGGCTTTATGTTTAGACCATTCAAAGGATTCTGCTTGTATTTTCCGACCATCCTCAGGTTGCACAGACCACGGGGAGGCAAAAACCAATTGAGCTCAACACTGTGAGCCTTGCAATACGGAGAAAGCAAAAACAGATGCATGCTTCTCTCTGTTTATTGTTAGTCACAACATGTGAAATTGATCATCTATACTTTTCTAGATTCATGAAGAATTGTTTTTGTACTAGATCCACATACAAGTGTCATGATTTTTTCCATTTAAGTACTTGTGTTTACATGCATTACTACACGTGGCGTAGCTATTCTCAAGGGCACAACATAGCAGTCATACAAGTCCTTGCTTATATGCAAACTCATCCTGTCAATCTTAACATGTGGGTCTCACAAATAAGAATGACTTGGGACTAGTTTTTTACTTTGGGTTTTGCACTTGACTCGTGCTGGCAGTGGGGGAAGAGAGAGCGAGAGACCACTCGACTCATTTCAAAAGCCAAAGGAAAAGATTAGAAGAAAGACTGAGCAGATGACCTACATGCTTTGTGATAGTGTCCAGGAGGTCTTCCATAGGAAGCTATAACAATCACATGCATTACTTGAAATCATTATCACGAGTACTTATATGCATCATATGGTGATGGACAGAGTATTATTCGGTTTTGGTTGAAGTATAAGAGAACGGCACTTATCTCTGCATTTTGTGGACTCCTGAGTGTGAGATACATAGAAGGAGCCCAATCTCCATGTGCCTTGATAGATTCGCACATGCCCGGTATTGTAGGACGGAGCAGCAATGAAGGGCAAACCTCTTTGGTTGTGTTGCACAGATTTGTGGTGATATACTAATCTGCTGGCTTTACATTTGCGGAACTCTCGCACAAACACGAGATATCTCACCATGGATAGCATACGAAATAGCCACGAGTTTATGCCAAGCTGCACCAACATAACAAAGATGCCGAACTTCATGGGTCAAGCAAATGCAAAGAGATCAAGCCAGGTAGGTGGTTATAAGTGAAGCACCTTTTTGTGGCCAAGGAACTTCACAACTCTTGGATCTTTTGATTCTTCAATAATGGAGAGGTGTATCATTATTATCGTCGGCCTGTAGACTCCACCGATTAAAACTCCAAGTGAATATCGAATACGCAGTCCAGAACAATAGAGGGCTCCATTGGTAGCTGGGAGCTGCCCAAGAGCTTTCTAATAACGAGCTACGCTTTGTGTTGCCATGGGTCAAGAAGCTGGGACCGAGCAATATGGATGTCATGTAAGAAGGGACCAAACAAATGAAGAGGGAACTCATTTAATTTGGTCTGTCTTTCACTCCTCAAGAGTGAAAATTTTCGGCTTTGAAAAGGAGGGAATCATCACAACGGTAGAATATCCTTTTGCACTAAAGGACGAGTTAACAAAACTCAATATAAAAGTTTTTATAGCATGTTCACGAGGAAAAGTTGAAGCATCAGGATGCCACCAATCCATATGGTACAAAGACCAAGTTTCCATGAATAGAATAAGAAAGTCTTAACTTTTGGGGAATAATGCTTGTGACCAATCAGATCCTTGTGAGGTTTTCATGGTGATATTCTGCCGATTAGATTTCCGCATAATCACTGAATATGCAGTCCAAAACCATGAAAGACTCCGGTGATTGCCGAGAGTTGCTTAGAAGTCCAAAAGGGATCAGGAGACCGAGCAAATCGCAAGGTACTTTGTCTTGGTTTATCTTTTACTTCTAAAAACAAACTTTTCGCCCTTGATAGGTATTGATCATCGTCAGATTCTTGGCGTGCTTGAAGACATTGAAATCAGAATCAGTGGGGGAGCGAGCTGCCGAGCACCATGAACACCTCGACGGTCAATGAGAACGAGACAGACTACTCGAGTTCGCCACCCAGAAATTAGCTCTGCAACAACTCTGCATTTGCCGAACGCAGTGCACAAGGACATAGCATAGTGAGATATTCCGGGCTCCGTTAATATTCGAAATATCAATAGTGAAGGTCGAGCGTCGGTTCAGTCTGAAACGTCGTGGAGCGACCAAAGGCGAAGAGATCCCGTGAACAATTAAAAAGCCTCCGTCTTGGTTTTACCGATGTTGATGGGAAAAGGATCTTTGCAGTAGCAGAATGCCCCCATTGCACTAATGGACAAGTCAAGACAACTGACTGTAAAAGTCCATGCATGCCCATGTGAAAAGTTGCTAACATATTTTTTATACCATATCTTTGTGGTGGGGTTTTGCAAGGTTGGACTTATAAAACTAAACCCATTTGCAAAAAAGGCCGAGTACCCATGAACGAAAAAAAATTGAGTCCTAGCTTCATAAACTGAGNGTTATTTTATTTATATTGCTTCCATTGATTTACACTTGTGGGAAAGCCTATTTTCCTCAACATCACAGACCACGGGGAGGGAAAAACCAATTGAGCTCAACACTGTGAGCCTTGCAATACGGAGAAAGCAAAAACAGATGCATGCTTCTCTCTGTTTATTTTTAGTCACAACATGTGAAATTGATCATCTATACTTTTCTAGATTCATGAAGAATTGTTTTTGTACTAGATCCACATACAAGTGTCATGATTTTTTCCATTTAAGTACTTGTGTTTACATGCATTACTACACGTGGCGTAGCTATTCTCAAGGGCACAACATAGCAGTCATACAAGTCCTTGCTTATATGCAAACTCATCCTGTCAATTTTAACATGTGGGTCTCACAAATAAGATTGACTTGGGACTAGTTTTTTACTTTGGGTTTTGCACTTGACTCGTGCTGGCAGTGGGGGAAGAGAGAGCGAGAGACCACTCGACTCATTTCAAAAGCCAAAGGAAAAGATTAGAAGAAAGACTGAGCAGATGACCTACATGCTTTGTGATAGTGTCCAGGAGGTCTTCCATAGGAAGCTATAACAATCACATGCATTACTTGAAATCATTATCACGAGTACTTATATGCATCATATGGTGATGGACAGAGTATTATTCGGTTTTGGTTGAAGTATAAGAGAACGGCACTTATCTCTGCATTTTGTGGACTCCTGAGTGTGAGATACATAGAAGGAGCCCAATCTCCATGTGCCTTGATAGATTCGCACATGCCCGGTATTGTAGGACGGAGCAGCAATGAAGGGCAAACCTCTTTGGTTGTGTTGCACAGATTTGTGGTGATATACTAATCTGCTGGCTTTACATTTGCGGAACTCTCGCACAAACACGAGATATCTCACCATGGATAGCATACGAAATAGCCACGAGTTTATGCCAAGCTGCACCAACATAACAAAGATGCCGAACTTCATGGGTCAAGCAAATGCAAAGAGATCAAGCCAGGTAGGTGGTTATAAGTGAAGCACCTTTTTGTGGCCAAGGAACTTCACAACTCTTGGATCTTTTGATTCTTCAATAATGGAGAGGTGTATCATTATTATCGTCGGCTTGTAGACTCCACCGATTAAAACTCCAAGTGAATATCGAATACGCAGTCCAGAACAATAGAGGGCTCCATTGGTAGCTGGGAGCTGCCCAAGAGCTTTCTAATAACGAGCTACGCTTTGTGTTGCAATGGGTCAAGAAGCTGGGACCGAGCAATATGGATGTCATGTAAGAAGGGACCAAACAAATGAAGAGGGAACTCATTTAATTTGGTCTGTCTTTCACTCCTCAAGAGTGAAAATTTTCGGCTTTGAAAAGGAGGGAATCATCACAACGGTAGAATATCCTTTTGCACTAAAGGACGAGTTAACAAAACTCAATATAAAAGTTTTTATAGCATGTTCACGAGGAAAAGTTGAAGCATCAGGATGCCACCAATCCATATGGTACAAAGACCAAGTTTCCATGAATAGAATAAGAAAGTCTTAACTTTTGGGGAATAATGCTTGTGACCAATCAGATCCTTGTGAGGTTTTCATGGTGATATTCTGCCGATTAGATTTCCGCATAATCACTGAATATGCAGTCCAAAACCATGAAAGACTCCGGTGATTGCCGAGAGTTGCTTAGAAGTCCAAAAGGGATCAGGAGACCGAGCAAATCGCAAGGTACTTTGTCTTGGTTTATCTTTTACTTCTAAAAACAAACTTTTCGCCCTTGATAGGTATTGATCATCGTCAGATTCTTGGCGTGCTTGAAGACATTGAAATCAGAATCAGTGGGGGAGCGAGCTGCCGAGCACCATGAACACCTCGACGGTCAATGAGAACGAGACAGACTAGTCGAGTTCGCCACCCAGAAATTAGCTCTGCAACAACTCTGCATTTGCCGAACGCAGTGCACAAGGACATAGCATAGTGAGATATTCCGGGCTCCGTTAATATTCGAAATATCAATAGTGAAGGTCGAGCGTCGGTTCAGTCTGAAACGTCGTGGAGCGACCAAAGGCGAAGAGATCCCGTGAACAATTAAAAAGCCTCCGTCTTGGTTTTACCGATGTTGATGGGAAAAGGATCTTTGCAGTAGCAGAATGCCCCCATTGCACTAATGGACAAGTCAAGACAACTGACTGTAAAAGTCCATGCATGCCCATGTGAAAAGTTGCTAACATATTTTTTATACCATTTCTTTGTGGTGGGGTTTTGCAAGGTTGGACTTATAAAACTAAACCCATTTGCAAAAAAGGCCGAGTACCCATGAACGAAAAAAAATTGAGTCCTAGCTTCATAAACTGAGCAGATCCATAGGTGCAAGGGTGCACAAATCATAACAAGGTTTGGAGAGCACTCACGGACCGGAGATACAAAGAATTTGGAGCGTACATGTTTGCTTCGTTTTCCACAGACAACGCAAAAATGTAAGGTGTAAAACTTGAGGATACCTCCTAGAAGAATAAAGAATGAACGTTTCTAATAAGAGTGAGCTCTGAACTTAATCTCATAGTCTTTGCTTCTTACAAAACGAATAAACTGTCCAAGGTCGAAAGTACTCTGATGCTTAAATTAATAATGGAATTGAGACAATTCTAAGAAGACAAAAAGAGTTCAGCGTACCTTTTACCTTGGCTCCTTTTGCTTCTTATAGACCCCTGTTCAATTAGGGTTTCTATGAATTTCAATTCAAAGTGACACATCTTCTTTCAATTAAGCGATTCAGTTTGAAAAACTGCTGAAATCTCTCTGGTAGTTCCCTTGGCCTACAATTAAGCTTATTAGTTTATCTTGGACGCCTAAGTTTTTGGTGAATCTTTATCTTTCCATTTACTGTTTCAAACAGTTCGATCTAGACGAGGGCCGAGCTCATTCCTTCATTTTCGAGCTTTCTGATCAGCTCGGCTGTCGGATCTTATTCTCTGCTCGACTGGGGCAACCTAACTGTCTGTTCGGTCGAGTTTCATCCTCTACTAGGTTGGACCAATTTTAGCTCACTTGGGATAGCCTAGCTATCTGTTTGATCGAGTTTTATCCTTTACTAGGTCGGGTCAATTTTAACTCAATCAGGATAGCCTAGCTATCTGCTCGGTTGTAGTACAGTCGTTCCAAATAACTACTTTCAACACATGCAACATGCCACGTGCCCAAGTCTAATTGCCAAATGATGATAAAAATTTATCGATCCCTTCAAATTACTTGTATAAAAAGAATATTATCACG